GGCAATACGGGGAATTGAATTGTAGACAGAGATAGAGACGGATAATTGAGTCAAGCGCGTCAATTTTTCATTGTGAATTATAGCGTTTGTTTAAGTTATAGCGTGACTGTGGAAATTAATTGTATTGAGAAAGAATAAACTAGTTTTATTTAAGAAAGGACTTGTATCGCTGAAGTTCTTCGGAAAGAATTTTTATGGAAAATTAACAAACGAACAGAAACGTAACAATACAAAGGCTTATAAGTACTTTATGCACATGTTACTACATAATCAAATAGATCCTAAAGTTTATTACGTTATATAAGCAAAGAACCATATTTCGACATAAGATAAAACGACTTATATTACAGATAAAATAGACATTCCACTATTATGTGAAAGGATCAGTACTAGGTTTCCTGTAAGTCACTTTTTAACCACGTGACTCCACTTCAGAACGTGCTGATAAATGAATCACGGAGTTTCGAAATGTTAATCTTTGCACGAAACAGAAACGTTTTCCGTTTGACTTTCCGCGTAACAATTATATGTCTGGTTTCATCTTTTGAACGTGATTATTACAAATATTATTCTCATGTATTAACTGCCTGTTATTTTTGTCTAACGCTTATAAAAAGAGTATTCATTTAGAATTCTTCTCATTAGTCTTACGTACACGTGGCCTTTATTAAAACAGATGTACATGTGTGATATCTTGTGTTCGTTTTACGTGTATGTTAACCATAGAATGACAAACACGCTCTTCAATATTTAACAGATGCACGATCCAGTGAACTGTAAACATACCTTACAATAACATAAAGAAATCCAGCAAAAGAAATAAACAAAGAAGACAAAAGCCAGTATATGTGCTTATCGAGGGTGTTTTTAACTTTCTATACTGACCAGAGACAATAAAATGTCATTACAATACATACCAACCTTCCTCACTCATCAGAAACGATAGGGTATCACTACAATGAACCACCAACTTTCTACGTTCACTAAAAACGAAAAGATATCTCTACAATGTAATAACAACCCTATAAACTCAGTAGAAACAACATCAAGTGTGGTTTTAGTTTACATTCCATGAATACAAAGGTCATTCATTTTATTTTTCATTAAATCATATTTTCGTCAGACCTGGTTTTAAAAAAGTGTTTTTAAAACAAAGGTAACGTAGTCGTGCAAATATAGATGTTTACTAAATCAATTACTGAAAAACACATTTCGTCACTGATTCCTTATTTCACCAACATGATCGGTGGCCGAATGAAGTGGTTTGAAGACTACCAGGGTTTTCCAATGACTCACGACTACAGGACGGGCCTCAGAAAAAGGCCACGTCAAGGACACACCCGCAAGGACGGACACACACTCTCCAAACTTAAAGTACAAAGTGTATAATTTATTCTAATATAAAAAATGTCAGTCTGATGACAACAAGCATTAAAAATTACTAGAATTTCTTGATTATAGAACGTGTTATCATCTAGATTTTCCTTATCTCTGCTTTGAAAGAAATATATGATTCTTACAAAAAAAGTAAAGACGATAACAACGATCAACAGCATTTTATTGGCCATTTCGGGCTAAAGATAGTCACCTTCAGCAGTTTACAACATAGATGAAGAAATTGCAACGTCCATTAAAATGTAATATATCGTTGCTGTCGTCTCTATTCTTTTTTCAAAGTACGTTTTCCAACAATGAATCAGTCACTTATATTTTATTTTTGTATATTTGGATAAGACTGACGTCACTATAGTTTATTTGTAAAGTTAAGTGGACAGAATACGTTTCCATTTACCACCGAATCTAATCACTACAGCTGATAAGCCTTTACACACAGTACTGTTATATACTCATTGAAAACCTTATTAAATCTCCAAGGGTGGACATCTAAAAACTCTGAACACAGGAATAACAACACGTGGCAACCCAACTCACACATCCTAAACACCACCAAAAATATATCGAAAATAAGAAAATAAATAGACCCAGAAACACCACAAAAAATTAGATAAAATGCTTAAAGAGTTAAGGAGGAGATCAACGGGACGAAGCCTCCCTACAGTGACTCTCACAAACTTACCTTAAACTCTTCTGGAAACATCTAAAAATAGATGTAAAAAGTAGTGACCTCAAAAACTGAAACTACCCCACACTTACGTACAACAATACATAATCCTAACTAATAAAAAAAATGCAGACACATTGAAATTAAACCTTCAAAACGTCTATAGAAACCCTGGACGAATATTCCATTGACACTTTCCTTTCCTTGGATATGGAACATAGTGGAATTGGTTTGTTGCCTTTCTTTCTTTACGGACCATAGTAACATTGAATTTTTGGCTTTCCTTCTTGATGCAACATGGTAACAACGAACTGCTTCCAAGAGATCCAGATCTTAACGTTTACTTAGTAAGTAGTTTTATCTGTACTGTTAACTAGAGAAAACGTTATGAAAATTAATTTTACCTGTAATGTTAAATAGAGAACACTGTGTGAAAAGTAGTGTTTTATCTGTAGTATTAACTAAAGAACACTGTGTGAAAAGTAGTGTTTTATCTGTAATGTTAACTTGAGAATATAGTGTGAAAAGTGGAGTACTGTTTTGTGTTTTTTTTATGTATTCATATTGCTAAAAAACCAGCAAACCAATGTTATTATGTTCCATAAAGAAGGGAAGCCAACAAGACAATGTCACTATGTTCCATAGAGAAGGAAAGCCAGCAAGTGAATGTCACTATGTTCCATAACAAAGCCAGCAAGACAATGTTAATATGTTCCATAAAGAAGGAAAGCCAACAAGCCATAAAGAAGGGAAGACAACAAGTCAATAGAGAAAGAAAGCCAAAAAGTATAAACCTGAACGTAAAAAGACCAATAATCTTACAAGGTGTCTTGATAAACAAGACAATAAAAATAAGTTCAAATACATTAATCGTATCCTTGGAAGAAAACAGTAAATCACCGGAAGTAGAGAACGGATTTAGGAAATTCAGGTACACCACTAACCATTTATTTAGACTCACATAACAGTTATAAAATGTTTAAATAAAAATTATTTCAAATGTTTACTCGATGTTTGTTTGTTTGAAGTTATGCACAAAGCTACACAATGGGCTATCTGTGCTCTGCCCACCACGAGTATCAAAACCCGTTTTCTAGCGTTGTAAGTCCGCAGACATACCGCTGTGCCACTGGGGGCTTACTCGATGTAGAAAAGCTTTTGATATCGTATGACATAAAGGTGTGAAGTTTCAGATATCCCAAATGGACTTTGCTACCTCGAGATGCCATCCATTGACTCCAGCTTTTTGGACGACAGGAAGGTCAGATATAATGTTGAAAACAACTACTTTGAGTATTTTACACCTGAGGCAGTTGCCCCACAAGGAGGGATGAGTAGCCATAACCAGCATACCACTTTTGGACAATGATTGCTTCTTCTCACCTCAATTCGCAGATGATGGGGCTATCTGGAAGAGTTCATTCGGACACTTCCATAGTTTCCTCAACCTTTCAGCCTCTGGTGCATAAAAATTAATACATGAAACCCTCAAGTAGTCTGTTTCACAAAAATCCCCCCAAACCAGCAAATAACCATCTACTTTACACCTATATATGGAGTCTTACGCCAGATAACCCATATCGGTTAACTTCTTTAGTCTCACAAATGATATGAGACTTATCTGGATGAAACACATTAAGGACATTGAAGTAAAATCTGAAGAAGACTAAACTGTGTAAGAAGCCTTGTTGCTAATAACAGAAGTGTTTCAACTGAAAACATGCCTATAATCTATAAAACGTCTACCAGATCGGTAACCGAACAAGCACGCTAAACCTGGTTTAATAATCCCAAACCCAACCAACCTGGTTAAACTACTAACTACAGTATTTAGTACGGCTTACACGTGCGTAGACCAGTATCTATAATAACGCAAAACTCTCTATGCTATCAAAAATACACCTTCAATATTCTTTAAAGATATTTAAAGATATATATATATATATATATATATACTGATCTCTAATTGTGTTAATGAATATATTATACCTGATAAGAATATATAACAAATCTCTTGTTATAGCATAAATTTTATATAAAACACAGTATATGAAATGTGTCAGTAAGTTTGGACAAGTTGAGGAACACCAATAGAATCCATATTGAACAATTATCATGAAACCTGTTAATAAATATTGTTGTAATGATTAAGACTTCGTTAAATGATTAAGAAAAATACACATATTAAATTTGAGGTTTTTATTCTTAGTAGTAATTGTTTTAATAAAAACCAAACAAAGGGAGGTTATTTATGGAATATCCTGCATAATAATATCGTGCCGAATGATACAATACTTTCGTAAGTAAGATGTAATAGCGTCTTGGTACATTATATTCAAAGGATCACATAGTCAAACGTTATGATAAATGAGACATTTATCCAGTGCATAATGAACAAGGATGAACAACAGCTTAATTCTTGTAGAGTGGTTGATGAATAACGTTTAACATTAGATAAATGAAACATTTATCCAGTTCATAATGAACAAGGGTTAACAATAACTAAAACAAATACTTAAAAAAGTGATTGATGAATAACGTTTAACATTAGATAAATGAAACATTTATCCAGTTCATAATGAACAAGGGTTAACAATAACTAAAACAAATACTTAAAAAGTGATTGATGAATAACGTTTAACATTAGATAAATGAAACATTTATCCAGTTCATAATGAACAAGGGTTAACAATAACTAAAACAGATACTTATAGGGTGATTGATGAATAACGTTTAACATTAGATAAACGAAACATTTATCCAGTTCATAATGAACAAGGGTTAACAATAACTAAAACAAATACTTATAGAGTGATTGACGTATAACGTTTAACATTAGATAAATGAAACATTTATCCATTTAGTAATGTATCACTCAAGAATGAGGATCACGTGTACACTTTATTTGTACATAAAGTTTCCAAAACTAGTTTTTCTTTCAAAATTAAGTTTTACCGGTTTCATTAATGTTTGAAGTTTTTATAGCTACACACGCATGATGTTTATCGGTTTCATTAATGCTTGAAGTTTCTGTAGCTACACACACATGATGAATGCGTTAAACGTCTTTCAAATATAAATATAAATATATTTAGATTAAAAACAAAATATAGATTTGGACATACGATTTGTTATCAGTGAGGTTTTGGAGCTATGAATCACTGTCTTAAAGATACGAATTGTACATACCATATGCGAGATATTAACAACAGTAACGACAAATCCTGTTGACTTCTAAAGAGAGAAAAACGTATATGCGCAATCATATTGGTATAACCTGCAGCGTAGCAGTTATTACAGGGTACTGTCTTATTTCGATTACAAAAACTAGCACGTTTCTATGCTAATATATATATATACAGTTTTTACCTGTGAAGTAAAACTGTGGCAAATATAGTTACGTTCGAATACGAAGTAAACGCTTTATAAAATGTGTATTATCTCACAAATAATGATGGTTAACAATATATATGACGTGTAATCGCAAGAATAAATAAAGTGGAAAACTTACGTCAGGTGATTTATTTCAGTCGAAGACGTTTAATTCTATATCGATGCTCTAAACTGTAGACGTAGCCACTTACTTGGTGAACAAGATTATCGTTAAATAGTCCAGGTAACACAAGATCGGTCACGTATTTTTATAAAATGAAAACACCGAGACGCTAGATTTTAAGTTTTCATTCTTTGACGTACTCTTCGGTGAACCTGTACTTTTCTAGCTGACAACCAATCAAAACTTGAGTATATTAAAAACTGGTTTGGGGACTGGTTTGGGCCATTTATCTGCCTGCGCATGTCGTAAGTTTCCTTTAACAAATGAGGATTGAGTAGTTTTATAAAAAAATATATTTTTTGATTTACAATTTTTATCTCATGCAGGACATAGCGTGATAAAACAGAGTCGCAAGTGTTTTGAGGTGAGGAAAAAGAATGTATGAAGTTCAAATTGGCGCAATTGTAACCTGTACAGATTTTAGATTATATCATATTATAGTGTACAAATGTGTGTGTGTGTGTGAACGTTTTATCAATAATATATCCAGGGGTTTTCCTGGTTATCCAGAACCCCCTTCTCTCCATCTTTTATATTTTGCTAATAGACATCAGTATATTCTCCAGTAATGACTCAACTTTTAACTTTTCAATTTTTTATTATCAAAATTCCAGTAAAATAGAACTTTAAAGTAATTCTTCTTTAATAAAACTAGAGGTAACGATTTTATTTTCCAATATCTTGTCATATTTCTTTAGTATGTCTTTTGAAGTCTGTACTTGGTCACCATTATCGTTTGCATGCACCGAAACCTATTCCGCGGTAAGTTTACGGACTTACAGAGGTAAAATTCGGGGTTCGATTCCCCCGGTGGACACAGCAGATAGCTTAATGTGGCTTTTCTCTAAAACAAACAAAGCTCCGAAACCAGGATAATTTAATAATTGGATTTATAACCCACACTCGGGTAGGGTGTTCTTAGATACTCCACTGATTACATGTATGTGCGTGTATATATAAACATTTAGGTGCGTGTGTGTAAATATGTAGGCACGTGTATCTAAGTATGTAGGTGTATATATATAAATATTTAGAAGCGCATGGGTATGTAGGTGCGCGTGTGTAAATATGCGTATGTGAAACATGCAGTTGTGTGTATGTAAGTATGTACGCGCGCGTGTGTAAATATGTAGATGTGTGTGTGTAAATGTTCAAAACGCATGTAAAGTTCACTTGTGTGAGCGAGTGTCAAGCGACGAGTTAGAAAGAACAGCCAAATGTATGTCTGCAATGAAGCGATTACGTAACACGTTGCAGTTTGTTTGTTTGCCGTGCCCACCACGAGTATAGATGTTATAGATAATGCTATACTCACACTTCGCTTTCCTTTCTCGTGTCCATCAACTTTATTTGTTACTATCAGAAATTGACTCATATCATTGTAAGCATTATAAATTGTTGTTTACTACTGCTAATCAGTAACACAAAGATTTAGAAATAGGCTTAGTTTCTTACTGGGAGTATATTACATTCTTCATTCGCCTCAGTTGGTTTATTCTTTCTCTCTCACGTTTCTTAATCTTCTTTCTTTCTTCGTTGAACTCCAGCCTTTCATATTCCTTTCTCAAATCTATGTCGAACAGGCCCCTACCTTTCTTTTTTTTTACCTTGTACCTTCTTCCCGTATTTCACAACCATAGGGGGTCTTGTAGTCTCCATACCGGCTGAACTTAGAAAGGTGGCCGCTTATTCTAATAATTTTCTAATGACTTGAAGTAGTGTAATTCCCCAACTCCTTAGAGACTGGTTAAAAGCCAGCCATTTTCTCTTCAGTCTCTCTCAACCCCAATTGATGTTCCAGGCACCAAACTTAATAACCCTCCTTTTCCTGAACATATTCAGCAATATTGATTGTATTCAATCTCGACTATAATTCTGTCTAATCTCATTGTTGTCCCAGGCTTCGAAGTTCCGGTGCATCATCACATTTTTCTTTCGTTGTTATGTTTCTACATTAGGGGATAAACTCATACTTAGCATACGATGTGCTAAAATTATTTAAGTATTGAAGTGCTGTTAACAACAACAACAAAATGATGTAGACGGGATTCAATCCTCGATAAACTGCATACAAAGAGTATGTTGTGTCATATGAGCGAAAACCCAAATATTTTTTCATATATGCAGCATATTAAATGGAATATTATATACGTGGGAAGGATATATGTTTCAAAGTTAATGTTATAAACGTCGTTCACTTTTGCACTCGTATAAAAGTAAAAGTACAACTTTACAATTAGCAAGTAGAGATATTGGGTTTCATGCAGAGCTAGCATGCATACATGCACGGACTAATTGACATACAACGTTATTTAATTATATAGATATAAACTTAGAAATAAGTTTTGTTTCTTACTATCAGCATGTTACTTTCTTGCTTTGCCTCTCTCGGTTTATTCGTTCTCTCTCACACCTCTTAGCATTCTTTCATTTCGTTGAATTCCTGTCTTATAAAATACTTTCTCAAACTCACGCTAAACATGTCCCCCTTTTACTTTGTAGCTAGTTCCTGTATAATGGATTATAATATTTCACAACATTATGGAGGAGTCTTGTAGTCTCCATATAAGGTGGCCACTCACTCCAATCCTTTTACAATGAAATAGAGAAGTGTAATCCCCTAATTCCTTAGAGACTACCAAAAGTCGACCGTTTTCTCACCTCTCCCAACTTCAACTGATGTTCCTTACACCTACCTTCACATGCTCACCTTCACCCAGTTTTTAGTTATACGTATTAACATCTGCCAAATTCTCTAATTTTTGAGTTCAAATCAATATTGTTTAAAGAAATTATTCCCACACTCCTGTAGACAGTTTTACATTTTTATTAAGAATAAGAAAAGTTCTGGTGAGTACGTTATTACTTTTTTTGACAGTTTAGATTAGTTCATTAGTGAATACAGAATGAACATATTCGTGTTGTCTCCCATCATCGATATACCCAGATAATTTCGTTCAAAATCCCCTTCTACTGTTGGTCGAGTTTTAAACCGTGCTTTCTAGATAATCGTCTGAAGGTTCATCGGAAAAATGAACCTAACGAACATTAGTTTTGTTAACAGAATAGCCTTAACCTCTCTCTCTCGAAATACGAGAGTAAAGATGCTAATACATTTTAAAAAGTAAACTACACTAGTGTCATCTAGAGATAATGTAAGCTATTATTAATAAATATTGTACTAATGATTCATCTCAAAACATATAAAAATATATTTTGAAGTTAGGCGTTTCCATTTGGAGATAGAATTATTAATAGATTAAAGTCTTACCTTTTTATCGATTCCAGAAAATCGTGTACGTTTACAAACCCGTCCATCTTGTAACGCCAATGCTATATTAAATATATATATATATATAATACTATTAGTCACTACTTTCTATTCTTCCAGTGGAACAACAGTAAATTTACTGACTTATAACGCTAAAAGCTGGGGTTCGATTCTCCGTGGTAGACAAAGCAGATAGCTACTGCGGCTTTAATTTCTAAAACAAACACCTCCCTCTATATTAATTAATATTTAACTTACTTTTTTAATTTCTATGGCAGAATTTGTGTTATTGTTGTGAAACACCTGCCAGCTAAGACAGCTCACTGATACTAGACTGTCAATCCTTAAAGAAATGGAAGGAAGTGGAAGCCATATTCCTTCCTGCTTAATTTATCTGTAATTCCGTACGGATATTTAGTTGTTGTGGACCTTTTAATGTGCAAGTCACAGAAATTCAACGAAGAGCTGATTGAGTCACTATGCATGGATAAAAATGACGTACTTAGATAAATTTTCTCTACTAATTTTATCAAGTTAGTTCGTGATATTAAGAAAAAAGAAGAATTTCCTTCCGATGTGGGAAACACAAACTACTGTTCATGTAATTCTGATGATGCATGATTTTCAAAAGTTATTTGTTTATACATATTTCTGAACCTTTTTCTCTATAGAGAACCCGATGGGTCAGGCATACCCTGTGCTTAGTGTCTCTTCGGACCACTAATTCAAAGGTTCATGGTTCGCTGTTCGGTCTGTTGCTACAGAAAAAAAAAAAAACAACAAAAAAACGTGCCTCGTTTTCTGGGTTAGTGAGACGGGGGGAGGGAACTATAAGTGAAGGCCAAATCCCATTGTTGAATCAGACGAGAGAGTAGCTAAAAATAATGACGGTGGGTGCTGTGGACTAGCTGCCTTTCCTCTAGCCTAATGTCAGCTAGCCAATGATGGAAATGATTATTACTTAACAGTTATTTTTGCTGAAACTTACGAAACAACTACACATGTGATAAGGGAGTTGACGTGTAATAGTGATTTTGTAACATAAATTACACATGTGTTATACTTAATTGGGCATATTCAATTGTTTCAATATATTTGTCATTTTGTTTATTTAACGGTGTTATACTATTTCCAAAAGATTGTATCTCGTTAAACCCAAAATAATAACAGTTAAAGAACGTGAAAATAAGAGTTAGTTTACAGTTTCATTTATTAACAAATGCTTGAAGCCTAACATTTGCAAAAAGTGTCATTAGAAGTAGAATCTTTATTTATATGTTTTGTAAGTAAGGTATGTTTTTTCTTTAATGTTACTTTTTTAACAATGCTGGCTAGGATGTTTGATATATCTCGTTTTATCATTTCTAATTTTTAATTATTATATTGGCCGAACTTTAAGAGGTAATATTGGGTTTACGGCCAAAAATATTGTTGACAGCGAAGATACCTACTCTAAGTTTTATTTGTGGGGTTGGTTTTTATTTTTTGATATGTTCAAGAGATTAATAATAAATTGATAATATAATCATATGATATTGAATTCATTTATTCCAATTACATCACATATTTTATATGAGATATTACAATTTATACACAAAGTTGCAGTACATAGTAAACATTTTATCAAATTGTTTGAATAGATGAAAACCGAAGAAGAAGTGGGCTTTTGAAAAGCTTTCGGAGAAATATTTATCTATGTAACATGATATAGAAATACCCGTAGTTGTAGTTAAAGTAATTTCGTTTAGAAATTTCACGTTCTTTTTTATAAATGAAACTTTAAGAGACATAAACCTGGAATAATTTGGATACTTTAGGTTGCTTTATTATTTAATATGA